CTCGGGAAACACCCACTGTGTTTTGTTAGACTGTCGAACCGCTGTCGCTTGTGGGAATTACAGGATATGTTCATGTGTCTAAACTAAGGAGGTACATGGATTCAGGAGAAAATGATTTGACTGTTAAGGTATTGTTGGTTCGGGTTGATGAACGAGAAGCAACTTCGATGTAAAAGGATTCCTTTGGAGAAGGTAATCTGGGGGATTAGGATGCGAGAGTCGCATCTAGAATTATTAGAATCAGGTGACATTTTCGAGGACGAAAATTCCTAAAGTGGGGGAGAGTTGTAACAGCCCAATTTCGGTTTAACTAATTAATTTAGTTATTGGAATTATTTTAATTATGGGATAGTGTGATAATATGTTAAGTCTACATATTATGCTATTTTATCATTTGTAGAGTTTTTGGAAAATTTAGTGGGAAATATTTCGGACAGTCTCAATTAATGGTTAAGTGGATGGGTTATGGAAATTGATTGGAATAATAGGTGTATTGGAGGAAATAGAATGGAAAGAAATATAAGGAATAGAAATAGAAAGAAAAGATAAGAAAAGAAAGGGAGGAAAGAAAAGAGAAAGAAAGAAGGGAAGAGAAGGGAAAGAGGGAAGGAAGAAGAGAAAAACCTAGAGGCTGGAAGAATCGATCAAAGCTTGCAAATAATCAGGTAAGGGTGTGAAGTATCATCATCTTATTAATGTTTATGATTAGGTATGGATTGTGTTAGTTGTTGGAGTGTTTTCCTCATTTTTCCATTTAGGGCATAAATGAGTTAAATCGGTAGAACTGATGTTTATCGGTTAGAATCACGTTTAGATACCGTAGATTAGTCAATATATGTTAGGCTAAGGCTACTGGGAACAAGTTGGGATTTATCGGGAGATTTCATCGGGTGTTTGGATTCTGAACAGTGGGAGAAAGTTCAGTTCGCAGACGCTCGCTAGCAGCTCGCTAGGCGAGCAGGTCGCGAGTGTTCGCTAGCATCTCGCTAGGCGAGTACGTAGCGAACGGTCCCAGACTTGGGACAGTGGTGTTTTGGTCTCCTTCGCTGGCAGCGAATGGGGTAGCGAATGACTTGCTGGGGGTTCGTTATAGCAAACGAGGTAGCGAACGAAGTCTGTAGCTTCTGTTCTTGCTCGCTAGCAGTTCGCTGGGCGAGAAGGTGGCGAACGTTCGCTAGCAGCTCGCTAGGCGAGCGTGTAGCGAACGTAGCAGAATGAGTCTTCTTTGCTGTTTGGTGCAGTTGTGACTTGGGGTTCCGATTGCGATCGACCCTTCCTTGATTTAGAAGATGGTGTGATGGCTCGTGATGTATTGTGGGTAGCCGATAGGCGTGAATCTTAGGTTATGAATTGTAGCCGTTTGGGCAATTTCGTGCATCGTTTAATTCGATTAAAGATGCATAATGATTTGGCATGAATGTTGAGCGTGTCCTGTAGTATACACTGCGGTGTATGATGTTAGTATATATTTGATCCCGTGTAGGATCTGCAGAACCTCGCTTGATGCGATGGTTATATTTGATCCCGTGTAGGATCTGCAGAACCTCGCTTGATGCGATGGTTATATTTGATCCCGTGTAGGATCTGCAGAACCTCGCTTGATGCGATGGTTATATTTGATCCCGTGTAGGATCTGCAGAACCTCGCTTGATGCGATGGTTATATTTGATCCCGTGTAGGATCTGCAGAACCTCGCTTGATGCGATGGTTATATTTGATCCCGTGTAGGATCTGCAGAACTCGCTTGATGCGATGGTTATATTTGATCCCGTGTAGGATCTGCAGAACCTCGCTTGATGCGATGGTTATATTTGATCCCGTGTAGGATCTGCAGAACCTCGCTTGATGCGATGGTTATATTTGATCCCGTGTAGGATCTGCAGAACCTCGCTTGATGCGATGGTTATATTTGATCCCGTGTAGGATCTGCAGAACCTCGCTTGATGCGATGGTTATATTTGATCCCGTGTAGGATCTGCAGAACCTCGCTTGATGCAATGGTTATATTTGATCCCGTGTAGGATCTGCAGAACCTCGCTTGATGTGATGGTTATATTTGATCCCGTGCAGGATCTGCAGAACCTCGCTTGATGCGATGGTTATATTTGATCCCGTGTAGGATCTGCAGAACCTCGCTTGATGCGATGGTTATATTTGATTCCTAGGAAAATCTGATGAGTTATAGTGTCACCGTATAAGTGCGAGAGGAGTGAATTCTAAGAGAATCTGACGGACGAATGAGTCGGTACCGTGGTTGTAGCTGCATAGGATCGAGGTGTCGGCCTCTATGAGTGCATTATCGTCTTCATATGACGAATTGAAAATAATGCATTGAGAATGTATTAGTGTATGTATGTATATATATATATATATATATATATATATATATATATATATATATATATATATATATATATATATATATATATATATATATATATATATATATATATATATATATATATATATATATATATATATATATATATATTGCGTCTGGTAAATATGAGAATGAGGTCGATGTATATGTAGAGAGATTTTACTCACTAGGGTAGAACGGCGATGCGTCGTTCCTAGTGAGGTAGTTACCGGGGTAGAATGGCCGAGACGTTGTTCCCGGTAGAGCATAAGCGACGTACCCATAGTCCGGAAAAAGGATTGAGGGTATGATGAGTCTAATATGAATCGCATGGTATGATCGCGATTGTCATATGTAAATATGCCTATGTGCAGGAATTGATGAGATGCGTTAACAAATAAATAAATGTGAAAGATATTAACCGATGAATAGACGGTTGAGTGTGAGCGATTATGTCTATGTGTATTTGATGCGGTGAGAATCTATGGTTATGCATTGTAGTGAATAAGTATGAGGTATAGGCATTTAGTACTTATACATTATATATATATATATATATATATATATATATATATATATATATATATATATATATATATATATATATATATATATATATATATATATATATATATATATATATATATATATATATATATATATATATATATATATATATATATATATATATATATATATATATATATATATATATATATATATATATATATATATATATATATATATATATATATATATATATATATATATATATCTTATGCCTTGATTATTATGATATGTTTCTCACCCTTCTGTTGTTTTATAATGCCCTGCGAGGCATTGCAGATTAGGAGCCGCTGGAGGTTTCCTTTGGAGTATAGTTCTTTTCCCTCGTGTCGGTCGCTCTGATATGTAACTTTGGGTAGATAGGCTTGTATAATGTCTTTTGATGTTTTGTTTGTATGTGAATGAAGTTGTGAACAACCAGATGACATGTAATTACGTTTTGTCATGTCTTAAGTGAATATATATATATATATATATATATATGTTTTAGTCTTCCGCTTTAAGAAAAAAAAACATGAATATGTAATTTCGAAGAATCATGCGTTTATTTTTAGTTGAGATTTACCCCTTTTGAGTTAATTCTTTTTAAACCTTAATATTCATGTGGTCGTTTCGTGGGTATTGTGACGCACTTCTTTTATACCTTAATGTAAATATACTCTGATGAAAAATAAAATACTTATATTCGTGGCTATATGATTTGATATGTGATTATTTTGGGGTATAGAAAGGGGGGCGTTACAGACCATCCCCAGACACCCTACTAACTCTGCTCATCATGCCTTAACTCGTATACAGATATAGGAGATGTTTGTTGATTATTAGAGTCATCTGGTATCATATGAGGATCGGGATACCATAACGTCGAATGACTGAAGCTAAGTCGACGAATACATCAGGTGGTTCTTCAGGGTCTCACATCCATACATGGTTTCGACTGCTCTAGGAGATCCGCCGAGACCCGCTCATTAGGAGATTCTAGAGGACGAGCAGGCTCAGCTAGATCATACTGAAGATGTCTTGCCTCGGTGTTGTCGTATATTGGAGATTGCGCAGGCAGACATTGGCGATTGTATATTCCTTAAGGGTTCCGTTGTGCAACGAGTACTTGATGTAATGGTTGCGGAAGTACATGAGACACTATTGTACCACAGACATCGCGCGAGAACGGGGAGATCGATGGCCAATGAGGCAGATCAGGAAGAGGAGGTAGATGAGAGGTTGTCAGACACACATAGTAGTTGTCTGTATTTATTTTGTTGCAGAACTATAATTTATACGTTTTTCCTGACATTGTTACTACATTTTGCATTTCGTGTCGTGCACAATTTTATTACTATATTATATTGTTATATTGTTTTGTTTGTCTGTTATTTTATATTTTATTTGCGAACAAATACACAACAGGTTATAAAAAAAATTGTTTTGATACACTTCGGAGATATATTTTTGAAAAATTCGAAAATATTCAATTGAAAAAAAGGATTATAGGAGATATGATGTGACCGTTTAAGGTTTAAATCCTGACTTTTATGATTTTGAGTGTGTGTGAATTTTTAATAGTTATTTCTATTTGGTCGAAATTAAAAAAAGTTTAATTCATAAGCTGCTTATTGTTCATTGGACAACTAAGTTATGACTAACTAATTCAAGTTAGAACATTCTAGATCAAAAAATATAACCAAAATAAGCAGCTTGAATATAAGTTTTTTTTAGTTATGTTTTTACTATCATAGAGTTTTTTCTTAAAAAAAAAAAAAAAAGCTAATGAGGGGACTCACATTTTAGTCGGAATAACTAAAATTAAATCTATTTATTAATGAGTTTGTTAGTTTTACTTTTATATGTAAAAAAACAAAACTAAAATTGCCAATTTAAAATAAAAAATGGATAAAATAATTGTGTCCTCTTCTCTCATCCCTCAAGAAATTAAAGAAACAAGTTTCTTCTCTCACCTTTCCAATGGTTTCCATCACCATTCCTATTCCGAAACCAAAAACCTCACATTTTCATTCTCTTCAATAATAACATCCCATTTTTCTAAATCAATCCCTTAACCCCAAAAACCACAACAATGGAACAACAAAGACCGGAACAAAACCCAATAGTAGTTCAAAAACCACCGGAACGAAAACCAATAGTACTTCAAAAACCACCGGGTTATAGGGACCCAACCATCCCACAAAAACCCCCTCCGCCGCGAAAACCGCCTCTCCCACCTTCTTTTCGACCAAAACCTAAGAAACGACATTATTGTCGCATATGTTGTTGCACATTATGCATTCTCCTCCTCCTCTTCCTCCTCCTCTTCATCCTCCTCATTGCACTCTTCTACATCCTCTACCAACCTTCTCTCCCTCAGATTCACCTCGGTTCCTTCCTTGTTCCAGATTTCAAGATAACAACGAACGCAGACGGTAGCCAACTCGACGCAAATTCAATAACAATGGTGTATATAAAAAACCGCAACACGAAAATTGAATGGCATTTTGATCAAAGTAGTGTTCAAATATGGGCGGAGAACGGCGACTTGAATTTAGGTTCGACGAAGGTGGCGGGGTTTGACGTGAAAGTGAGAGGTATATCGAAAATGAAAGTGGAAACGAAGGTTAGAGATGAAGTATTAGATGGGAGACAGAAAAGAAGGTTGAAAAGTGTGATTCAAAGTAAAGCTTTGAAACCTAGTGTGGAGGTTAGAACAAGAACAGGTGTTAAGATTCAAGGTTGGAAATCTATGACGATTGGTGTTACTCTTGTTTGTGGTGGGGTTACGGTGAGACAAATTCAAAATGGCGATTCACCTCTTTGTTCCTTCACTATTTTCAAATGGTAATCAATTTTGCATTAATTTCAATCCTTCATCAAATTAATGATTTATTGTTCTAATTTAAGATGTTGATGATTAATTACAGGATCAAACTACAATGAGTTGGGGTTTTGTTATTATATGAATATGTAAGGATTGGGAGGATTGTTGCTCATTTTAACAAATCAAAGGGGAAGGTTTTGTCTATAGCAGCTAAACTTGGGTTGCACTCATTAGTTGTATATACTGTGAAACTGTTAGTGTTTATTATATGTCTATGTATATAATGTGGTTGATGATTGGATTTATCACACCACCAAAAAATGAGAGACTTGCCTTTTTAAGGTGTAACATATCATTCTATTTTGAAAATATTGTAAAGGAGAACTTAAGGGCCAAAAATGTATTATATTTAGTGGTTAGGAAGAGATGGATGTGAGATCTTCTTGATTGTGACATATATCTTGACAAATATGTTGTATCTGTTTTGTTTTTTCTTTTTTTTTTTTTAGTGCAAAGCATCGTTGAATTTCTTTTATTTTCATTGCATTTGAAATTGGATTAAATTGTAAGTCCAATTCATTTTACAAGCATTTAGTGTCTGATAATCATTATTTAATACATTCATAACGGAGAAGATCATTAAATTATAGAGACTCAAAATTTAAAATCGAAACATCTTATTTATTTACCTTTAAAATATTAAAAAACTATTAAATAAATACAAAATTATACAAACTATAATCATAAACTTTTATCAATTGAATGGTTTATATATATATATATATATATATATATATATATATATATATATATATATATATATATATATATATATATATATATATATATATATATATATATATATATATATATATATATATATATATATATATATATATATATATATATATATATATATATATATATATTCTAGTCAAAAATGGTTAGATACACCAAAAGTGTTAATTTCCTTTGTCCTAAACAAGAAGAACTATGTTGTCTATATTGTGAAGGATATTTGGAGATTTGAGAGCTACACTTGTTCTGTGTATTTTTTTAAGATGATTGTGTCTTGCTTAACCCTAATGTGGGAGCCCCTTTTCCATTAAGATATGTCATTAAGAGAAGTCTTTTGGCCTTCTGACGTTACATGACCATCATTGCTGTAACTCTCCTTCATGAATGTAGGCTTTGAAGCTCTGGTAACTTCCGCATTGATGCGTCGCCACTATTACAACTGTTGGTATGCCGATTGAGCTCATGTACGACATAAGTACCGAGTTGATGGGGTCTGTACTCGACTTTTTAGTAGCTCGGCTGATGAGAGTCAGGTTCTGTGACCGGTCTGGGTTATAAGAGATATTTGTCTAGCTCTCTGCATTGCTCGACCTTTCTTGCTATCGTAGTCTAGTTCATGTTTAACGTTGTCCGGCTACACAACTCGGCTTAAAACATATTTGGCATGTACATAAGCCCCCCGAGTACTATATCTGTTTACAAGGGTACAATACTCACCAGTAACATGAGCCCAGATATATTTGACGGATGTCGTGCTATAGGTCGGCTTTTCTTCTTAGGTCCTTACGTGTCAAACAAAACCTTCGAACGATCGTGTCCCCTAATCTTCCCTAGTGTTATGATGACTGTTAATGGCTACTCCCTAACTATCCTTGGGTTCTGAGTCCTATAAGAACCTTTCTTTCCTCTCTCTCTTTTCTCATTTCGGCTCAGCATCATCTTTTGCTTTAAATATTTCTCGTCTTCATTTTATTCTAACCTTATGTTGCATGCTTGCAGACAAGACGACTGGTGTAACACCCCAAATATTATGAAAATATTAAATTTAATTTATTTAAATGAGATTATTCACATTTTGGTGATTTTCGGTGGTTTTGTAGAATATTGGGAATTAATGGAATTTGGGTTATTTATTTTGAATAATAATATATCATATGAATATATTAATATTATTATTAATTAAAATAAATATAAGTGAAATAAGGGCAAATTGGACAATTAAGAGGAGTTAGTGAGGATAATATGGGAAAAGCCCAATTGTGAGGCCCAAGTCTAGATTTAACAAAAAGAAAATTGTGAAGGGATTAGGATTCATTTATTAAATCGTGAAGAGAATTGAGGTCAGAGCTCTGAGGAGGAAGATTGGAGGCAAAAGCTTCGAAACGTTCCCTGAAAGATTTGAAACGGCTTTGAGTCGACAACTAAGGTATGAGGGAGTATTACCTTCATAATTGTCCATGTGTAAATTCAATGTATTTAAGGTCGATTTAAGGGTTTAAGGGATTTTGGGGTTAATTGTGAGAAAAAGGGATTTTGGCCTTCGTGGCCTAAATCTAGTATTGAGATGTTAACCATGGGAATTCATTGGAGTAAAAGGGAAACTAGGTCTTCATGGCCAAAACTCTGATTTGACATTGGTTTAACCCTGTAGGGAAATTTGATGGTGAGAACTCAGATGATTGTGGTGTAGTGGTAAGTATTCCTGAGGGTTTGAGGGTAGATATGAGAAGTAGTTATCTTTGGCCTTTGTGGCCTAAATCTATTATAGGTAAATCTAACCGTGGAATTCATTGGGGAAAAGGAAAGTTAAGCCTTTGTGGCCAAAAACCATGAATTGTTATTTATCTAACCCTAAAGGGATAGGAATATTAGATAGTGAATAACTCTGATGCCTTTGGGGCAATTGTAGGGAATTTTGTAATTTAGGGCGTGAATATGACACGGGATTGGCCTAATAAACTGTAGGTTTTGTGCCTTTATCGCCGTAAAACCTTAGGGATGATTTAGAGATGCTTTGGGGGCATTTGGGAAGTGAATCGGGTAGACTTTAGGGTTGGATCAAGTTCTAGTGCGTAGCAGAATTTGCTGTCATCGCACTGTTCTCCTAGCGAACCATGTTGTTCCCAGACTCGCCTAGCGAAGAATCCTTCGCACATCGAAGAAACTCGCCCCAGACTCGCCTAGCAAACATGCCAGCGAACGTAGCAGAGTTTCGCGAATGTTGATCGTGTGCAGCGATACTTTGATGTTTGATTTTGTGATTTCTTTGACGAATTAACATGAGTAGGACTGTGAAGTTTATGTGATTAATAGGCGATAGTATGAGGATTACCGCGAGTATAATTATGAATTAATATGTGTAATATGATGAATTAATATGAGTATGACTGTGAGCGCTACAAGATTTGTACATGATTATATGATGATTTCTATGATGTATGATGATGATTATTGTGATGAGCTATAATGACATGATGTATGATGATGATTATTATGATGAGCTATCATGACACGATGTATGATGACGATTATTGTGATGAGCTATGATGACATGATGTATGATGATGATTATGATGATGAGCTATGACGTTTGATGATGATGAATATGATGAATGATGATGCACCTATGATGTTATTATGAGGATGATTTGTGACGTGGCATCATGTATTCATGTGCATCCGGACTTCGGTTCAGGACCTCGATTACTTTGGCTTCAATCCCATTGTGTGGATGTGAAGTATTTTGATATGCTCTGATTCTCTAGTAGAATCGATCCTATTGATGGGGATCTATGGAGGGTTGATGGCCCAGTGTCCATCGCATTGTGATGACTGGTATCACATGCATTGAATCTTGTTGCATTTGTATTTATGAGATGATTTTGAGTAAATTATGATGTTGTGGCCTTTGATGTCCTTTGAGGAATATGAATGTGTTGAATATGAAAATGACGCCATTTATATGTTGATTTTCTACATTGATTATTATGAATCGTTTTACTCATCCTGCCTGTTTGAATGTTACCTCCACGTGGGTAACGTGCAGATGACCAGGTTTAGCCGTCGAGGTTATTTTTTTTGAAGTTTTGAGTGGTTAGTCTTTTTGGTTAACTTAGAGGGTCTTTCTCTAATATGTAACATTGGATTGGGGTCTTTTGAGTTAAACTATGTTTTATTTGAGTTTATTTTGATTATCTTCCAGTATGAGAAAAATCTTGATTTATGCCTTTTGAGTTCCGCTGCTTTGTGCAATTTGATGTACTTTGGGGAAAACCCGTTGTTTATGGAGCCTTGACCTATTTTGAGGATTTGGGAAATGTACGCCCTTTTGTGGTGGCTTTTATTGAATTTAATAATTTACTCTGATATGTGAATAAATGTGTCTTTTAATTGTGGGGTAGAAAAGGGTGTTACATTAGTGGTATCAGAGCAGGTCGTTCCGTCTGGCTAAGTTGTCTAATGTTATTTGTTCCCTAGTATGCGACATGTGTGTAAAAACACTGTCGGTACACGTTTATTTTCTAACCTTTGTCTGCAGAAGTGAGAATGAAACAAGTGGGGGAGAAGCTTGTGCTTCTCCAAGATGCTTCAAGTGTGGAGTGGTGGCTCAGAGTGTTGATGAACGCTCTTATAGTTTGGTAAAGATGGTTTATGCCCCATCATGATTTTCGGTTGTCTATTAATAAATTGAGGAACTGATCACCCTTAATCTCTTGTTGATAGTAGACGGAGTTATGTTGGATGGGATAGACATGTCTTGCAAGCTTAGATGGCGTGTGCAGTGAATTGTTTTGAGTTAAGCTAAGTGCTTACGAATTGTTTTGGTGAGTCAGTGCAGGATGGTGCTGAGATGTTTATTTTGATGGAAACTTTGAGTGTTAATGAAAGTGGGGAAGTTGGTGGTTTGCCAATTAATTGTGATAGTCCGGAAGTTTTTCCTGATGAGATAAGTGATTTACAGTCAGAACATGAAGTGGAGCTTACGATCGACTTAGTTCCTCGAACTAGTTTGGTAGCAATGGCTCCATTTTGTATGTCCACATCAGAATCGAATGAGTTGAAGAATCAACTCGAAGATCTGCTTGAGGAGAGGTTCTTTTGTCTGAGTGTGTCACCGTGGGGTGCACCAATTTTGTTAGTTAAGAAGAAAGAAGGTTCTATGAGGATGGGTGTGGATTATAGACAAGTGAGCAAGGTGACTATCAATATTAAGTGTTCACTTCCAA